CAACTATATTCTTTTTAGGGGTATCTAAAGTGTCCATGGAGCACCAAGCTACCTAAAGAAGTTGCTGCAATGGAGTATGTTATAGGTCTGACACACTGAGACTCCAATAGAAAATGTTTTTCAGAAAGAGACTATAAATTATACTGTCCATCATGGAGGGTCATACATTTTTCTCTTTCAATATCTCAGACTGAACCTTGCACATAGTAGATACTAAAAATAAATTCTAATCGAATTGCAATACCCTCCATAGGCATTAATATTTTTGAAGAAATTTCCATGGAAAAAAAATACATGTCATACACAAATAATAAGCATTTAAAGTGTAAATTGATAAAATGTAATAAAGTACAAAGCTAAATTGGGTATGTAGGCCAAGGACAAATTATAGAAGGCTTGATGCCAGGATAATAACTTTGAACATCATCCAGAAGACAATGGCAACCTTTAAGGATTTTAGATCAGTTGAGTATCTGATAAGTAATTTCTTAGAGAAAGATGAGACTGCCAACTGGTAGACCAGGTGAGGGATTATTGCAGTAGTTCAGATGTGAGATCATGAGTGTGTGAATCAAGGTCACGGCAGTGCAAATGAAGTGAAGGAGCAGATACATCTATGGATCCCCCATGATTTCATTCACAGCCTCCAGTCCACTGTCTTTGGCCCACCTGTATGCAGCAGCTCACTGCACCTAGGCCATTTATAGAAACAACGTGGTTTATTCCAAATACCTGCTTTTCTTCTGGGACTCTAGGATTTTGGTATACGCTAGGCAGAGGGTATCTGTGTGACCATTCCCAAGTAAAATCCCTGGGCACTGAGTCTCTACTGCTTCCCTGGTTGATAACACCTCACGTGTGTAGTCACAATCCATTGCTGGAGGAAGTAAGCATGTTTTGTGTGACTCCACCAGGAAAGGAGTCTTGGAAGCTTGTGGCTGGTTTCCTTCAGACTTCTTCCCACATGCATTTTCCCTTTGCTGATTGTGTTTTGTAATCCTTTCACTGTAATAAACCCTGACTGTGATTATGACTCTATCCTGAGTCCTATGAATCCTGGCAAATCAAAAAACCTGAGGTGGTTGTTGGGAACCTCTGACACAAGGACTATCTCCCACTTCATAAATTTTCATATTTAGAATGTCCTTAAGGATTATACCAAAACCCAGGGGAACTTAGCCCCATTCTGTTCTGTAAGGGAGGGAGGAATATTTTTTTTATCCTAAGTCCTATTAATGAACCCAGTCTCAGGTGCTAATACGCACGCATTTTGCCCTGTTGCACCTTGCATTTATTCCACTTGGCCTTCAGATCCCTTACCTTCTCCCCTCTGTTACCAGTGCCTGCCTCAGGCTCTACTTGTCATGTCAACTCATGTAGATACATTTTTCTAGGTTCTTGACCTTGAGTTACCTGTCAGTATTGATTTTCACAGTCTTCTGCTTCCACACACATCCACAGCATTGGATGGGAAGTGCTTTCACTGCTTGTTCATTATCATTGAGTCACTCGGTGGCTTTATCAGATCCTGTGACCTCCCTGTAAGGGGAACGAACCAGGCAAAGTCCATCATTTCAGTCAAGTATATTCTGTGTGTGAACCTATTGCCACTTTCATGTTCCTTATTTACATACGTGAAGCTGAAAAGAATTTAAAATCAGTATATGACAAAGAAGGTTAGAAACATCTGAGTAATACCTAAAATTACTATTTTCTTCTGAGAATTTTTTTTAACTACTGGGAATACCTAAAAAGTTAAAAACCGATATGCGACAAAAAAAGAATAAGGAAACATCTGAATTCTTTATATCCTTACTTTGAAAGGTCTATTTTGAAGAAAATGAAGTTGTTTCAAGAGAAATTATGAGATTTTAGCTTCTGGATGTTAGACTATGTTCAAAGTTTTCATACTATTACACTTCTCTGAATCCTTTATTGGAAGGAAGCACAAAGCACCATTCAAGTGATTTGAATATACTACTAACACTGAAATTCTTGGAGCACAAATTCTGCTTCTGTGGTTTAATTATGTGTTACATTGCAGGAGTCAGTCATAAGCGTATGATATTCTAGGAGCAGGTGGAAAAGCAAAGGACTTGTGACTTGGCATAAGATCTGTAACAGATGCCAAAAAAATGATCTTGCCATGCGCAATGATTTTACCACAAGGCTGGAAAGACACAGTGCCCCAAGAGTATTCTGAGAACAGTTGTGAGTCAGGCAACAGTCAGCATGCGAGAACTGAGTTATACATGAAGCCCCCCCAGATCTTTCTACATTTACATAACCCATTTGTATAAGGCACGTTTCACTATAAATACTGTATTTAGCAGTTGGTAATTTTTGTGACAACTTTCCTGGGAAAGATCCTAAGTGATTCCAACACCAAGTGATTCTTGACACAAAGATCCCTCGAAGAAAGCAGTGACTAGATCATGTCTGTCTTCTTTTTTCAAACACAGATAAAGACAAAGCAAAACTTTAATCAGTCTACAAACTACATTTCTTCATTTTATCTTTACTGAGCTTTTGGATATAGATGTGAATACAGGGAGGGACATACATGACACTTGCACTTCCCTTTGTTTCAACAGCTTAAAGTGAACTTATGATTCTTCTACCTAGCCTAGAATCAGTGTTTTTAAGGTAAGAATTATTTCTCATGTGTGTAACATCTTTTAAAAGTTATTTAAATGTTTGGGGAGACAATTGCTATTAAAACCAGTAGATGATGGATATCTGCAATATATCTTGACCGTGTACATTAATGCTTACAGAATAATGCTTGATAAATCTTACCTCTAAAGTTGGGTTTTTTAGCCACATAACCTTGACATATTACATGTACACATTGGGTATGATTTTCTGGTTAAAAAAGAAGAACCTGTGTTGGGGAACTTATGATAGTGGCAGTACTCAGGCTTTAGGCAGGTAAATGGTAATTAGGCAAGGTGTGTCCATGCAGGCTATAAGATATCAGAGGGTATTCAGGGCAAGACTCCCAGGTACTACGTTGGATAATCAAGCTGAACTTTGAGGTAGATACCATGGCAGACTTGCTTGCAATCCTCTCTAAGGTGGGGACAAGAATGGGGAGGGAATATGTATTACAATTTGGGATCACACGTGGCTACTCAGAAGTCACTAAGGATGCTCAAAAAGCAAAGCTGTCATAGCTGGGCTCTCAGATCCCACTGAGGGATGTTTGGTTAGCTATGCTGAACTCCTGAGCACAGGGGTGTTGATGTTGCTGATCTTCCTTTCCGCAGTCAGGACCAACTAAACAGCTATGGAATTGAACCTACAGATGATAGGGAGGAGGGCGGTCATGTGTCAGGAGCTGGGAAACAAGATCAGAGGGAGAATATATGGGGAGTGGGAGGGCTGACGTTAAATGCCTATTTTTATTTCTCTTTTAAAACAAACTTTCCATGATTATGTGAAGTGAGTGGACCAAATCTCAAAACTTTTTTTTAATAGATAATTACAATTCTAACCAATACAATACAATACAATACAAATTTTAAAAATGAGTTTTTTTAGGTGGGCTGAGTGGCTCAGTTGGTTAAGAGCTCGCTCAAGAGTGTGAGTTCTGAGCAACAGCAGTTCGAGACCTGGCCTGAGCTGAGCTGCCACTGAGCTGCCAACAGGTGGCAGGATGGCTCAGCTGAAAAAAAATATCAGTTTTTAACTCTCCCAATTCTGTGGACTTTATCAAATTTTTAAAGTTTATTTTCAATCTACAGAGGGTGCCAAAAAATGTATACACATTTTAAGAAAGGAAAAAAAACTATTAAAATTGTAATACTCAATATGTACCAATAAAAGATGAATACGAGTTATGTGTATACATTTTTTTGGCACCTGCGGTATTTGTGTATATAATATTAAGTTGCTCTATAATCATATGATAAGTACTATCTACCTGCAAATGATAATTTTTTTAAATCTACAATTCCAATAATTTAATGTTGTTGAGCTATTTCAACTACTCATTCTTTAGAACCTAGAGCAGCCTGTAGAATAGATACTTTTCCTTGATTAAATGCATTTTGCTGCTTACATTATATAAATGGCCTATCGTAACACTTGGAATAGTATGGGCACTCAGTAAATGAAAGCTATTAGTATCATCATTGCTAATATTGAAACAGGTTTATCTAAACAAATACTTTGAAAGTACAGTTTTATATCTATGCTATCAATGTCACGGTAATACTTTTCCCCCAAGCTCTTACATAATAATCACATTTAGAAAGAAAGGAGCATTGAGATAAATATTAAAACTTAGTGCCGTTGGTGATATGAAGAAACAGTGAAACTAGGAGACAGAAAGTCCTCAAAAATACATTTCAGAATGGGCTATCAAAGACTAGAGATTATCTGTAGGTATAAATTTATTAAGTCAATTATTTAAATTATTTTTTATTCCCTGAAGTGATAGAATGACAAAAAGATGGGGGGTGAGGGGTGGGGAGTGTGTGCAGGTAGTGAGGGGGAAGAGTTAGATAAAAAGAAAACGTATCTAGAAACATGCCCTCGGGAGGAGCGCTGAGGGACTGAAAGCTAGTTGTGAATAGGATTGCCATCTTCAGATAAGAAGTCAAGGTCTCTGATGTTTGGGAAGACATTGCTTCAGTGTTGTCATGCGACAGAAGAGGCTGTTAGAACTGCTTCGGTCCTATTTATGCACCAGCACCCTGTGACGGTGGGAGAGAAGCCGCCCCATGCCTGTCATCTGTGCCCTCAGCTCTGCCGTCATCCCTTTGCAGACCAAGCTATAGCTATAGGTGGCCCAGTATTCAAAGCTGAGGTCATGCCAAAGCTATAAAACAGGTGTTGGATGTAGCTGAAATAATAAATAGTATATGACAAAAACCTAAAGAATGATTCCCCAGCTCTACCTATAGACGCGATCTCTCTGAATGAGCGGGGCTTATTAGTCAACATCATTTTCTGGATAGTTACCATTTATTTACAAGCATGGTGTGAGCCATTTCCCTGACTAGGTAGACGACAATGAACTATCACATCTAGTTGTAAAGCTCATGGCTCACAGCATAGTGGAGGAGATGGACTTTAAATAAGTAACAAATGGTCCAAAATTGTAAGTGCCATGAAGGAAAAGAAGAGTTGGCTAAAAGTGGTTATAACAGGGACTGAGTGGTTAGGGAGGCCAACAGGGACAAGAAAAGAAGACCGTGAACTGAAACGGCTGGAAAACCTTCTCTCACAGTAAGTCACGGGGAAGTAAAGCAGGCTTCTCAGTGGGTGGATTCAGTGCCCCAGCTGTGTCTTCAGGAGCCTGTGTTCTTTCTGCTCTGTTGTCCACAGTATCAGTTTCCTTTAAAGCCTGGGTCTTTTTGTGGTTATAAGATGTCTCAAACAAAATACAAAGTTATTTCCCTCTCACTTAATGATGTTTGTATCTAGGATTACCTGCATTCTTATTCACATGCAGCATGAGAGGGAAAGACAAATGAACTTAGGGACTAAGTCCTAACCTTCAGTCTGATGGAGCCACTCTTGGCAGAAAGGCGGCAGTCCTTCTTGTCCACCAACATCCGTTGTCCTCAGTTTTTAGCAGAGCACATAGCCACCTGGAGTAAAGATTATGTGTCTCAGGTTTCCTTATGATTGGGTGTGGCGGCGTGACTAGGTTCTGGTGCTGACATGTAAATGGAAGGGATTTGTGTAATTTCTGAGACGTGGCCTTACAGGAAGGGGGCATGCCTTTCCGTGTCCCTACTCCCTTCCTGCTGCTTGAATGCGAACGTGATGGCTGAGCATCTGCCGCCACGTACTGATGACACGGCAGTGTGTATCCTGAGTGTTTGACACAGGTGGCACCACCCCAGCCCACGACCATCTCCCTCCTCATTTCTTTCAAATTAGAAGAAACGAATTTTTATTTTATTCAAACCATAAGTTGGCAGTTTTCCTGCCATATGCAGCTCCAAGCTCATACGCTCTCTTTTAAGCCATTTCCCAGACAGAGGGCTGCCACATGCTGACTGACCTGCCAGTCAGTATTCTGCCCTGACTGCAGATGTGGTTAGAGTCCCAGAGTTACAGAGGTTGTGTGAGGGAGGACTGGACAAAATCAAGGTACAATTAGGAAAAAAGAAGGGGTGAAAGGTTGCTGAGTAACTGACCAACAGTGACCACTACAAAAGATTTTGTACCGGGCAAAGAGAGAAGGGCCGATCAAGATAGGATAAAAGTGTGTGTTGAGCCTCTGCACAAGAATGAGCTTGGATGTGGTTGTGTTCAAAGAGCTGAGAGAAAGTCAGTATGATAAATGATCGGGGAAATAGCATGAGACTGTTCAGATTATGTAGGATGCTATTGCAAAGCTATACCCATGTTTCCCAGAATTGTTCTGGTTTAACCATGTTGTACTGGAAAAATTGAAATAGTCTTTTCTTTTACTTTCAAACTGTCCTTGTTTGGATAATAAGTTCTAAGATTATGCTACATATAAAGTCTATATTAAGGAATTTGGACTTTATTCTAAATACAATAGGGGGCTCTTTTTCCTCATTTTGTCTCAGTACAGACATCAGGCTTTTCTACTTGTCTCAAACTTTATCTTCTAGCTACTCCCTTGTTTGTTTTCCTAGACCAAGGTAGAAAATTCACCCTAACTTGTCTCCCAAGGTCGTCTAGATGCAAAGCACAGATTAAAAACTCATTTCTGCCTCTTCTGAGCCACTTGACATTCCCCATAAGATTGCTTCTCTCTCCCTGTATTGCTAATCCAGCAATATAATTATAAGCAATCTTGCTATGTTGTAATATACTTTATGTTTTAAATATTCTTGCTTATGGCATTTTTTAAATCTTCTCAAACTTATTTTGATTGACCTTGTAGCCATCTTGTCTTCTTGACCTTTGGCGAGTTACTGTCCCTTACCTGGGCCTCTTTCCTTATTTGTAAAATAAGTTAGGGGCTGGCCAAGTGGCTCAGTTGGTTAAGAGTGCGAGCTCTGAGCAACAGAGTCGCCAGTTTGATTCCCACATGGGCCAGTGACGCTGCACCTGAGCTGAGCTGCTGCTGAGCTGCCAACATGTGGCAGGATGGCTCAGCTGGTTAGAGCACGTGCTCCTAGCAATTAGGTTGCTGGTTCCACTTCCGCATAGGATGATGGGCTACACCCACCTGCAACTAAGATTGAACACGGGCACCTTGAGCTGAGCTGCCACAAGCTGCTGATGGGTGGCCGATGGTGTCTGGACTTGGAGCTGAGCTAGCTGCACCCTCCACAACTAAGACTGAAGGACAACAACTTGGCTGTTCCCCTTCCCCAGTTCCCCAACTAAAAAAAAATATATGTTATTAATGCTATTACCTTATAGGGGCTGTCTTAGTCCATTAGGGCAACCATGACAAAATACCACAGACTGGGGAGCTTTACAACAGGAATTTATTTTCTCTCAGCTCTGGAGGTTTTAAGTTCAAGGAGAGATAGAGAGAGAGGGAGGGAGGGAGGGNGGGTGGGGAGGGGAGAGAGAAAGAGAAAGAGAAAGAGAAAGAGAAAGAGAAAGAGAAAGAGAAAGAACAGAAGGTGTTGATGAAAGTCATAGAGAACAAGCCAGGGAGAACAAGGAAGCTGATGAGGAAAAAATATTGCTTTACGTGAAGG